GGGTGAAATAAAAGTTAAAGCGTGTAAACGAATTGCGTTTAAGTGCGTGCTTATAGTCGGGAGCAGGGTCAGGAGCAGGGTAGAACCATCAAAAATGGACGATAAAAATATTTAAATACATGTTTCAAGAAACTGTGATCAGGGATACCCATCTCTAAAAGGAAGAAAAAATATTTAGATGACATTAATTACAGGTTTTTACAGGACAAGTGTGCCTTAAGAAACATGTCGACACACTTAGTAAAATATTGGCCCGTGGGCTAATGCCATCCAAGTATGCCGGTATCGCCTTGACCTTTTACTGCATGTGCATATTGCGAAAAAAGCTGTTTTCATCGAAAAGCCTCCTGTCACAAGTTCAAACTGCTATGAAACTATAAAAAAGGCTTCAATACTAGTCAAACTTTGCACAAAGCCTGTGGAACTTCATGCTCAATCTTAAATTTCCAGTTTCCATGGCAACGGGGACGTTTTAAGATTGCCAAAAAAATCACTATTTTGCGACATTAGACACACCAATATTTTGCAAGTATAAAATTGTAACGTCTGTTTAACTTCATTCTTAGGCAGAAACTCATTATTAGTTGCATGTGTATATACATATAAGCTAAGCTTGAAAGGACTCGGCCCGGTGAATTTTCATATGCACTCTTTAATTATGACCAATCTAACTAGTGATGACTTAAATTGGACCACTTTTTAAAGAACATCTATCTAGACTACAACGGGTTGGGTCTAATTCGTACCGGGTTGAGACCGGAAGGACCCTCGATACCGGAAGGAATATACTGTGCAAAATAAGAGCGCATCTTTTTGAGTTCGAGTTTAAACTTGATTTGGAAGTAAAAATAGTGTAAAAGAAAAATAGCATTATTAAATGTATAGTCCTATGCATGTTTGATGCTAATATTTTTCAAGTAAAACTTGTGCGTACGTTTCTTTGTAAATAAAACCAGCTTTATTTCCTCTTTTTCAAACGGAAAATATTGTTTTGTTGTTAGTCCCCTACTGGTTTACCGGAGGGGACTTTAGGTTTACCCTCCGTCCGTCTGTCCGTCCGTCAGTCTGTCCGTCCGTCTGTCAGTCCGTCCGTCCACAAAACTGAATCACGCGATAACTTGAAAAGTACTGAAAATATTTTTATGAAACTTGGTATATGGATAGATGGCAGTATGGAGATTATGCACGTCTTTTTCTTTTCTTCCTAAGTTGAAAATTCTGGTTGCTATGGCAACAAATAGGCTGAAAATATGGCAAATTTTACACATAAACTTGATCCAGTGATAACGCAAAAAGTACTGGAAATATTTTTATGAAACTTGACATATGGGTAGATGGCAGTCTTGAGATAATGCACGTCTTTTTCTTTTCTTCCTATGTTGAAAATTCTGGTTGCTATGACAACAAATATGCTGAAAATATGGCAAATTTTACACATAAAATGGATCCAGTGATAACGCAAAAAGTACTGGAAATATTTTTATGAAACTTGACATATGGGTAGATGGCGGTCTTGAGATTATGCACGTTTTTTTCTTTTCTTCCTATGTTGAAAATTCTGGTTGCTATGGCAACACATAGACTGAAAATTTGGCAAATTTTACACATAAACTGAATCCAGTGATAACTCAAAAAGTACTGGAAATATTTTTATGAAACTTGACATATGGGTAGATAGCAGTCTTGAGATTATGCATGTTTTATCTGTTCTTCCTATTTTGATAAAATATCAGTTGCCTTGGCAACAAATAGGCTTAAAACATGGCAAATATAACAATATTTGTGATTAGTCAAAAAGAGCTGAAAATTTTTATGAAATTGCATCTTTAATTTAAGAGTTATCTCCTCTTTAAGAATTTTGCTTTTAAAATGTTATATTTTGGTAACAGGGATGTTTCAAATATTAACTTTAGAGTGTCCTCAGTCCGTCTGTCTGTCTGTTCATAAAAACTGTTTCCTGTGATCACTTTTAAAGAACTTTTCCAACAAATTTACTTAAAATAGAGAAAAATTGAAACATTAGTGAATGGCCAATGGCCCTTCAGAATGTTGATGGGGTTCTAACCGGTAGGGGACTTATGGATTGCTTGCAATACTATGATAATTGCTTGTTTAAACTAATTGGACATACCTTACGCTATCGTTTTAAATTTGAATATCATTTTTTTCACTGTTCACAATGCAATTGAAAAATAGTATTTTGATGATGTTTTTGTATGTATGTATATTCTTCCATTGTTTTGAACTTAATTCACGCTGACCTTCATGATATATTCATTTGCACTTTTTCAAGTTAAAGGATTTAACAAGCTCGTATGATTCCGCTATATTTCGCCATTTTCTGTTATCTTTTAGTCTTTCACCTGCTGAATTTCATAAATGGACTAGACCCATTTCCACATTTTTGAACTGTCCGTTCCATGAAATAAAGATGACAATAGGAAGCCATCAGTTTCTACAAGGTTCCAACAATGCAAGGTTTAATAATTATACTATTCAAAATATGATAAGGACCAGCTTTATAGTCTATATATTTTTTCGTGCATTGATAGTGTTTATGATAGTTTATGATATGTTTTGTTCGTTTATTAAATGAAATCGATGCAGAATGAGTTTTTCTCACTAAAACATTGAAAGACCCTCCACAGTTACTGTCATGTTCCGAGATAAAAGCAGGTGCAGAACATTTCTTTCTGGTCTTCTCCACCATCTGGCGCGTGTCAGTAAAGAAAACAGGGGTCCAAATGCTGGGTCTTTATTGCACATGGTCAGGGGCACAACTTTGGCGTTTTCAGTCCTGAGCATGTGTTGTAGATCAGAACGAACACCACTGTGTAAAGTAACGTGCTACAATTCCTACGATTTGAAGAAAATACCACATTTGTGAAACAACACTTCTGGTAAACATTCAAGTTTCTGACAACTTGCCTCTGAGATATGCCTGTCTGCAACATACCACTCCCCCCTCACCGTCTATTTATCTCGTCAGGCATATGGCGCCGTCTTTAATTCTAATTCATTATATCTAACATTATATTGAGATGTTTTTGTCTTCAATTCTTAATCTATTAAACCTATTTGTAGAATCCGATCAATATAAAATCGTTCGGTTTTTTGTTTAACTTTTTGTTCGTTTCCATCATATACTAGTATCAGGAAAAAACCTCGTACACATGCGTGCTACCGACAGTAATTACGCGTAACCAGAGAGGTGTTCCGGAAGCGGAAATGATATGAGCCGCGTCACGACAAAACCAACACAGCGGGTTGGCGACCAGCATGGATCCAGACAAGCCTGCGCATCCCCGCAGTCTAATCAGGATCCATGCTGTTCGCTAGCAGTTTCTTTACTTGTTATAGGGTCTCTAAGCGAACAGCATGGATCCTGATCAGACTGCCTGGATGCGCAGGCTGGTCTGGATCCATGCTGGTCGCAAACCTACTATGTTGGTTTTGTCGTGACGCGGCTCATATCTCAGTTCTGTTTGACTATTGAAAATTCTACGAGCGTGCAATATTTCAGGGTATCAGAGACAGAGTGTGCTCTCCTCATCAGCTGGATATTAAAGACAACAACCTTTTTTGCGGGATTATTTTATTAGTGGATTATAAAAAAAAACTCATAAACAGAATAAAACCAGACCCGAACATAAAGTTTATTGTATTGATTTGCATATTCATATACATCACCAAAATCAGTTTAAATGCGATCCAGTGTACTAATTTATGCAAGCAATAAAATAAATAATAGAATAACATTTTTATACTAATCAAATAATTGCTAATTTATTAAGAAATGCGATTTTGATTGAGTTATTATTATTTACTATGCTTTAAAATATTGATTACAATGTCTATGTTAATCATATAAAGTAATTGTTATTTTGCAACAATGCAATAAACTTATTTGATACATAATTATAGGTTATTTAAAATTAACTGTACAATTCGGGAATATATACGAACATATACCACTAAAGATAAAGCCGTTATTTATCGGAATAGAAAATGTGTTTAGCGTCTTGCGAAAACGAAACCACGAAGAAATTTTCAATGTAAGGACAAGATAAATTAGAATATGATATTTGATCACCTTTTTCATTTCTTGTTTCTCAATAATTTGGGTATTCAATCATACGATATACTTCGTCCATTCTTCAGCTTTGTACATGTTCTTTGTCGATTCCAGTTATCTGGTTCATTCAAACCGCACCAACTTAAGTTTTGAACTTTTTGTGCTCTTGTGCATGCAATACTGCTATATAATTTGAACGATCACTTGACGTTCAAAAATCTTACGATTGAACAATTAAAAATACATATAATTATGTAGAATAATTGGATATATGAAATATTATATTTTGATAAAGTTTTTGCATGTTTAACAAGGGTATATTACAATAACACAAACTGTGTCATCTATGTCTCTCACAGTTGTTGGCGTCCGCGCCGAAGCGCAATGAAATCAGATTTTGTGAAAGGGCGACAGCAACTTCTCGAGCCTTTTAGTCGGCCATAATAAAAGCCGATTATTCTGATCGGTATGAGGGTGCTTGATTATTATTAATCAAAAATGAAATGCCGCGATATGTACAATGAATAGCGAACTGGAACATTTCGCAATGCAAACATTTTCAAATGAAATAACCTTTTTCCGTCTCTTCGGGGTTTTTTATTTATCATTTTGTAGTACACATTGGGTTATTAATATGGTATGTTAAAATAAAAAAAAACGATGAGTTGATGACCTAAACATTCCGAAAATCTATTTATAGAGGGATTTTCTATCGGTAATTCCAGGTCTCTCCCGGTCTATTTTGATCGAGATTCACTAGTGACCGGCGAATAGTATCACACGTTTATTGTCCGGTCTCTCCCGGTTTTGGAGTAGATGTTTGATATCGTTACAGAACAGAACAAATATTTTACAGATAAATTAGCTTTTTTTCCAAAATGAATGTTTGTTACTTAGTATGGTTACAATAATTAATAAACATAGACCAACTCTCAAATTTATTGATTATTATTATACAAAAACATACAATTCGAAAAAAAAACAACAATAGCATGTTTCATTTTATCTATATGAGATAAAAACAATAAATATGTACAATAATTGAGAAAAAAGGTACATTTTTATCGTATTAATATGACACTTTCAACTTTGAAACATTTTATTTAATTTGTCATTCGTGTTTAGTAAAGATGCCGAGGAATTATTCAAAGTTACAAATTAGATTTTATGAATTATTCAATTGATTGATAATTTAAAAAAAGATAAAGAAAAATACAAATGTACATGTACATGGTTTAAGAATAAACAACATTATATATTGAAAGATTAACCATAATTTACTGACTTTTTCCAGTTAAGTTTTGACTTATAATCATCGGTCAATATGACAATTGAATTCTTAAAATTTATTTTACAATGTTTATAAGAAAAAGAGAGTAGTAAACGTAAAAACTCAAAAACACAAAAAAGAGAGGAAAACAATATTCATAAAATTTGTATTTTTTTATATTGAAATAGATATAACAATTATTGTATTTATAATAAACAATTATGCTCAAAATAATCAACATGGTAATATAGCCAGTGCCATATTTTTACTAAGTGTGAACAGATACCTTAAGATGTGGTCTTCCATAATAAGGGACAATTACACAAGTGTGGTACGTGTTGATCATGCGTTACACATATGAATTATAAATGATTGTATACATGTATATCCGTTGCTATTAAAAATCACGATCATAAAGAAATAACAAGTAATATTCTAATCTCTAGCATGTCAATCAAAGTTCATAATGAACAATGTCTTTCATCTGTTCATTTTGGTAAAAACCAATTAACCATTGAAAAGTTTATAAGAATATCTTGTCATCATATGTCTACTAGTTCATCTTCACTTTCTGCATTTCTTGCTTGGACGTTTTGCTTTTCTTGTATAATATATATGTAATACAAAATTAACGTAGCAGTGTATGACTAAAACAAGTTATTAAACGTTGTGTCCCTTATCATTTATAATTTGCATTGTATTCAAATATTTAACAATACCATTTATCATCATGCAATTTTTTCTATTATCTTCAACAATAATTTGGTTAACAACATTATTTTTTTTTAATCATTGTTCAATATTTATGTATCTATTACAGTTTAACACTTTCTTTAAATTAAAAATATCGCACATTTCAGTCCACCAGGCTAAAACTATATTTTCCCTTTTCTCTTCCTTTACTTTTTAATATATTCAAGACAATCCTGATTACATATGATATATGAATATAGAACATTGGTTACAATGATAAGTATTTTACCTGTCAGAGACGTTAATAATATGAAACGCCTTGTATAAAGCAGAGCATAAAGATAAGAAGAGATACAAAAAAATAGAATGTAACTACGACTCTACAAATTACGAGAGGTTCTTCAACACTTTATCAACCGATGCTAGCTGACTCTTCAGCCTTTGGTATTGGTCCAAAGTTAAAGATATTCCTGAAATGTTAAGAATACAGAGCCCGTAATAACGTCTTTTTCTCGAAAAGCAGGTAAACAGTTAATTTCGGCAACAGACGTATGGCCGGTACAGACCGGAGTATCTAGCTCAAGGGTAACTGTTTATGTCGTTAACGAGGCTCTGTCAAGTTTCCGCTCAACAGCAACCCGAGAGCTAGATAGTCCCGTCTTCAAAAAGACACCTGGTTTCTTACTTTGATTCATTTTCTTGCATCTTACATGCTAATTATATTTCAAAAAGAAACTATGAAAACTAATGTTCGAATATACGAATGTTTTAACCAAGTAGTGTATAAACTTAACACAATGCTCATTTTCCTTGAGAATTACCCTGGGTTTCAGTGTTGAAACTCACGTGCATAGAAATATTTTACTTAGTTGATTGTTGGTACAATAAAAAAATCAGAAATTATATATGCATAACTTTATGGAATAGCAACAATTTTTCAACTTTATAAAAACAAAAAGCTTTTTGTTTACGTTTAAATTGACCATGTAAGCATAAATAATAACGGCAAGAAATGCAAGTTACCTTCTTTACTTGGCAGTAACTTCCCATCATCATGGTAATATTCTCTGATACCAACCGTTAATTTTCCATCCTTTTTATTTGCTGTCAAATACTTCATCATCGAAAGCTGTCCAAAATGATTAAAATAATTACAATAAATGATATAGTATAACAATAACTTATACATTTTTTAACTTTATTTAAAGGAAAAAAAAATAGCCTAAAAAAGATAAATATTGTTTTTCTATTCAACTTTCACTTATAAATGTTTTAAGGAATGCGAAATTAATTGCCCCTTTAGAAGTTTCACCAGTTTTATATTTCTTTCTTCTCATTTTTTTAGGTTATGGTGTCACTTTCTCACGTGACTAAAATTGTACTAAAATGAATGATACAAAAACTGTCAAAAGAATGTGACACCGGCTTAAGATTTAAAACGGCATTACGTTTTAAGAAATTTCTGGAAATATTGGTAGAAATAGTGGTTCACAAATCGGAGTACTAAAATCAATGTATATCAATTGATACCTCAAACATGATCTCGCCACCATGACCCATTTCAGAGCCTTCATACGCCTTCTTTTTTTTCTTACTGGTGGATGGTCCCGCTGTTACCGCCTTTCTTTTAACAGTTGTCACGCCCTCTGTCTTTTTTGGTTTTGCTTTCTCGCCTGGTGTCTTCTTTTTTGGTGTTTCTGGTTTCTTTGTTGTCGGTAAATCATCGAGAAACGAAAAAAACTGGAAAAAGAATTCAATGCACAAGTTCTTTGATTCTAATTACATTTTAACCAATTTTTTGATAACAAAATAAATGACAGATTTATGACAGAAAGATATTTCTAAAAATAGGTAGAAAATTTCAATATATCCAGTACATGATTTTTACCGTCTAACCTTAAGTGTTGGTTGTATGTGTATGTCTATAAGACTGTTGTACCGGTTCTAGAATTGTCAGACAAGCCAACATAACTCAAGCATTGTTATGAACGAATACTAAGTATGACGTCATTTCTCCACTATAATTGAAATTGTATATATATAAGCTACTTTTAGAAAAATAATGATAGAGAAAATGATAAATTTCGTAATTTCTTTCGATTTTTAAAGTACAGTTACAACGTAAGAAAAGGAATTTTAAAAAATGGTCGACGTTAAAGCTTTATGGAAACTCTTTTGCGAAAACTGCAGAACCTCGTTACCGAGGCGCTTATAACTCATACTCTCGAGCTAGATATTTTGGTCTGTACTGATACGTGCACCGAAGTGAAATGGCCCCTAAGTGACTCCCGGTCAATATTCTCTCTGTTCTTGAGATATTAAATGAAAAGGTGCAAAATCTCTCACACACCCTAGCACCGTTTTAGGCGGTATTCAATCCTCAATATTGATGATCCCGAAAGAAAATAAGACTACAGTGAGATAAAGTAATGGACATGTTACAGCTGTCAGATTTTATTACAGTCAATACAATCGGAACGATCGGCTATTATGACCGACAAAAAGGCTCGAGAAGTTGCAATTGCCCTTTCACAAAATCTGATTTCATTCCATAAGAGGCGCCGCGCTTCGGCGCGGACGCCAAATAGACATTGACATTTTGTACAAGGTATTCATTTTTTTAGATTACAGGATCATAGTGATCGGCTTAAGTATCAAGTAGTTATTTTACTTCAGATGCCCAACATGTTCGACTTACATTATGAAATTTACTATGTACTAATATTTTACGTTGCATAAAGTTAATCATTATGAAATACAACATCTGACAATTGCGGTGGTTCCTCAAAAGAAAATAAAAAATTGAATGGTAATTTTTTTAGACACGCTTGTATTTGATGACACATTTTCTTAAAAAGAGCTGCGTGTCCTTTTGAATGTTTACCCGTTTTATGACACTGTCAATTAGAACTTAATTTACACCATATATACAGGTACTGAGTCCTTGACTTTTCGTATGAATATTATAAGGATAAATTTTCACGAGTAATAGCGGAAGTTTTATTATACCCTAAGATAAAAATGTTTAGCGTAATATTTAAAGCAAAACTTGTGATAATTCATACCTGGGAGCTCGAAGAGTCACTCACACTTGAAAGTTCTTCTTCTTTCGACTCTTGTTGATGTAAAACATTATTGGATGACGTTTTCTGCACCTGAACTTTTTTTTGAGACTGTATAAGAAAACAAAAACAATTCTGACTATATTTAGAGAGAGACACTACGTGATGCAAGAGTATGCGGGATAAGGACATTTGAGAAAAAGATCGTTTGGAAAGGATACAAAATACAAAAGACTACCAAGTCAAAATTTAGCTCAAAATACAGTGACTTTTTTCACAAGGAGCAAAAGAAATTGGCTGTATTTGTCACTTCTGTAATATTTTGAAGAATGAACCGTTCATATGACCATTGAAAACTAGGAGACTGATGTAAATATTAGATTTTATTTGCACTTTTAGCGAAATCTCTCAAATATACAAAACTTTGGTCCGATGGAAAAATATAAAATGACTATAAAACAACTGCTCCTTTGATACTGCGGATGATCACGTGACCAACATCGTACAATGGGCTCATAAAATGGCTGCCTAAACGCTCGGTAAAAGCAGTGAAATTGAGGTAAGCATACAGTTAACGTTCATGTCAATATTCATGTCCTTAAAGATTATAATGTCCCAAAAGTTGGCCTTCAGCAATTTACTGCTGAATTATACTAAATATGTTTCAAGTGCGATTTTGTAATATTTATTATTTTGATGCACAGGAAGCCAATGGGACCACAAACACTTGGGTCAGGAGCTCAAAACGCCTTCAAAATCCAAATAAAATATATATTTGTCAATCCCAGCACATGTACTGATCATATATTTAAATAAAAACTTAATATTAGCCGTTTTTTAACATCATATTTCAACATTTTTAAATAACACATATATTTAAGATATACATTTTATTTGGATTTTAAAGGCGTTTTAAGCTCCACAACCAAGTGTCTTTGGAAATGTCAACCAAATTCTATATCATTATTCACATTTTATTTGATCTTCTTTGGTAAAAGAAAAACGTGGATTTTAATACTTACTTACATAGAATAAGTGTTTAAAATCATTTGCGAACACTTTTTTTTTTTCAGATGGTATATCACATCTAACATTTATCAGGGCAATAGTGTAAATAAATAAATTGCAATGCAAAACACTGATTAAACCCATGTCAAAATACAAAGTCAGAAATACAATCGAGCATATCTCCGAAGTAACTAGGTTATGCAAACATTTTGTACTTAGCTATCATTTTCGGAAAATAAATAAACGTTGAGTGTTCGAAATTATTTTACCAATCAGACTGCAGTGTTTCAAATGAAAATGAATACATTTCCTTTGTACATAACAATTTTGAAAAATAAATAACCGTTTAATGTTTAAAAATGTTTTTGTCCAATCAAACTTGTACATCTGCTTTCTATTAAAGTCAGTTCTAGTAAATTTTAAGCATATTTACAAAATTAAATTGGTCGTGCGGCTACGTCACCCCCGACCTATTTAACTTAACTTAACTTTTATAATAATGAACACTTAAACGAAATATCAAATTCAGGAGAAAATCTTTTATAGTTGCTATATCAGTAACCTTGTATATCATTCAGAATTAAAAGATGAGGAAAAAGATAATAATCATAATACCATATATTGATAAAAGTAATCCATCTTTTTAATCTTGAAAGTCGCTTTTTAAACCAGGATATTTAAACACGACAAACTTATTGTTAACATGACATATTCCGATTACCTCGGCTATCATGCAAATGATAAAGATACGTGTATTGTCGAATGCTTTAAATGTAATCAAGTGCAATCGCATCAGTTTCGATACTTTCCGTTACGTAATAGAAAGAGCATCGAAACACGAGGCTATCTGATTTGTACGATATTAATCAGATTGCCGAGTGTTTTGATGTTCTTTCTCTTTTGCATTATAGTCAAACATAAAAAAACACGTTCCCTGTTGTCACAATATGAAACCCCGGGAAAAGGTAACCAAAGAACGCGCATCTGAATATCACATTTCTGTCGCTTTCCCTTTCTCTTCCGTCACAACATGTAAACCCCAGCAAAAATGAGGCAATCAATGGGCATGCTCTAGAGTGCGGGTAACTAATACCTGCACTCCAGTTAACTCACTGTGCATGTACACTGCGGTATACCTTACCTCGTATATTGCTATATATTATGAGGACTTTTATCCCATTTCGCGACCTTGAACGGGGAACGAAGGTAAGTTTAGCGACGATTTTTTTTAAAACTATTGGCTATTTCATTTATCACAACAAGTTTTATATATCTAGAGGTATTTTTGTATATCTAAAAGACATCAAAGTGTTACAGATATTTGTAAAATTGATTAAATTACCCCTAAACGATCGGCTGCTCACTAGAAAAAACTGAACGCAATAGTGTAGAACCGTTAGAGATTATTATATTACCAAGATAAAAAAAATTGAAACTAGAATTTTTTTCATTCATTATCCAAGTATGCTAAGTCCAAATTTCAGGCAAACAGTGTGAAAGTTCAAAAAGATACAGGCCAAAAAAGATACCGAGTATTGATTTTAAGTGTACATAGTATTGCACAATAGCCCAACTTTAGTGTACAGTGTATTGCAAAACAGAATGAGCAAATTAGAAGGGAATATTTTTATCTAATTTTCACCTCTGTTTATTGATGCCATTTTATTTTGCTGATAATGTACTGATTTCATATTCAACAATGCATATTCAGTCTTGATACCCATCTCTAAAAAGAAGAACAAAAACTATTTAGATGACATTAATTATAGGTTTTTACAGGGCAAGTGTGCCTTAAGACACACTTTGTAAAATATTGGCCCGAGGGCTAATGCCATCCAAGTATGCCGGTATCGCCTTAACCTTTTACTGCATGAGTATATTGCGAAAAAAACTGTTTTCATCGAAAAGCCTCCAGTCACAAGTTCAAACTGCTTTGAAACTATAAACAAAGCTTCAATACTAGTCAAACTTTGCACAAAGTGTTGACTGGACCATAGCCTGTGGAACAGCATGCTCAATCTTAAATTTCCAGTTTCCATGGCAACGGGGACGTTTCAAGATTGCCAAAAAAATCACTATTTTGCGACATGAGACACACCAATATTTTGCAAGTATAAAATTGTAACGTCTGTTTAACTTCATTCTTAGGCAGAAACTCATTATTAGTTACATGTGTATAAACATGATATTTACACAAACATATATGGCAGGATAGCTATTTCATTTAAATAAGATTTATTTTAAACATAAACAATGGAAAAAAAGAAAAAGAAATTAGAAATGCAACTAAATAAGACAATTTCCAGATGAGTACTAAGCATAAGAAAACAGACAAAAATAAGTATTTTTTTATTTAGACTGGCACTTAAAGTAAATTTAGCAAGAGTCTAGAAATTAACTATTTCAAGCTAACCAGAAAAATATTATATGTATATTAAATATATATCAAAAGAAGACAAAAAATATTGGAAAGACCAGACTAATGAACAGAGGTCAAATTGGAGATATTGCAGTATATTAAATGTTGGTAGTATAAAAAACATCTAGTGGAAACGTCCGCTGCTATTTATAAATTCAAATACTGCATCTTATATCCATGTGTTTTTGTTTTTTTTTATAATGATTTGACGGATCTCCATATAGATGGGTTAGGAGATCAATGGAACATAT